AATAAAAATCTTAATATTCATATAAACCTAATTTTTATGTTAAATTAATAATAAAAGCTTGAACCTATAATGTGCTCATGTGGAAAGACAACACTAGCCTTATGTAGAAGAGACTTATAATAATCTCAAAGACAGTCTAATGCGCAAACCTCCATTGACTCCTCCTAGTATGTCATGTTTTATCGACCCATGTTTGTGTATGTTTCAGTTTTTGTACCTTAGGAGAGGAATAGATATTGCTAACAAAAATAAATAGATATTTTTAACCAAATACAAAATCAATTTTACTACTATAAAATAACAAAATCTCCTGAGCAACTTTAGGCAATAGCAATGTACTTTCATTTTTATATGAATACAAAATCTATTTGAGGGTCAAATGCAAAAAATAGCAATGTGCTTTCATTGATTTTTTTTTTTTTTTGTATAACATATTACTTCTGTTTTTTTTTTTTTCATACAACATTGTACATTGAAATAACAACCAAATTATCAATATATATATATATATATATATATATATATATATATATATATATATATATATATATATATAAATCACTACTAAAACTGAGTAGATTTTCAAAAGAACAAATATTTGGTAACGATCCAATTTTCAAGGTAAAATTTTCATTTTGGAATAAGCAAACATGATGTCATACATTAAGAGATCCAATTGTTTTCAAAACATAAGTCAAATACAAATTTTATTCCAAACATCAGAGTGTCCCAAAAAGTTTTTGAGAGAGTACACACCGCACCATTACGCTTTGCCCTTGGAATCAGAGGTACCTAAAACTATAAACAAACATGTCAGCACAAAGCTTAGTGAGTTCCCCATAGCATACCCCACACAAAAACCACATAACATGCAAGTTATAAAACCTACCTCTACCACATACACATGTCAATCAACTATAAAGCTACCTCTACCACATAACATATCAATCAACTATAAAGCTATCTCTATCATTAGCCACAAGGCTATCTCTGCCCTTAGCCATACATGTTATCTCTACCCTTAGCCATATAGGCTATCTCTAGCATTAGCCATACAAGCTATCTCTACCACATATTAATGCATAACCATGCCACACACCTTTACACAAAAAGTATACAAACTATTATAAAATGGGTCGACCTTGGTGCCTTAGACCCATTGGTATGGTGAGAAGACTCACCTTGAATGCAAAAGCTTCCTGAAGAAATCCTTAGTTGTTGCCCTGACCACTTCTTGACCATCAATACCGAAACAATATACCCAGTTAGCATTTTGGGCCCATACCATTGCCCTTAATCCATGCATGGGGGTAAAATGACCATTTTACCCTTAGCCCAATATGATCCAAAACTTAGGCCCAATCCTCAAAATAAAACCCAACACTAGGTAGGCTTTCCAAGCCCACTAGTGGTTTACCAATGGCCCAACTTGCTTAATTGGGCCTAATCCCTTTAATGGGTCTTACCCTAAGCCCAAACATGTTCCTGGCCCAAAACATATGACTCCTGATGACCCACTAAAGCCCAAAAACCCAAAGTCAATTGTTTGGCCCAACCCGAGGCCCAAAACACTACAAGGCCAAAAATGATGAGTACGCGGGGCGTACTCTTATGTATGCTAAGCGTACTGACTGGAAGTAGTGTACGCGGCGTGTACTTGCATGTACGCCCAACGTACTCCTCTGTTAAGCTACTTTTCCATTAAGTGCTTAATACTCGGGATTTCCAACATCAAACTTCAGATCTAGGTCCATTAAGACGTCTTAAGGCATAAAGTTGGCAACTTTATGCCTTTGCATGCTCCATATGCTCTCAACAACCCATTAAGACCTTTCCAAGGGTCTTGATCCATGCATGAGGTTAGGATACTCATCAAGATTGCATTTTTATGAAGTGGATAGACCAAAGGACCTCAGATCTACTTTCCCTAAGCTCTGGAGTTGCCCAACTCCCAAGAGATAGTCCAAAAGCTCATAAAAAACACCAAACAATCCCTAATATAGATCTCAAGCTATAAGATGACAAGGTAGAAACTTTATACCTTCTGAGACTTGCAAATGGGCTGGAGAACCTGGATCCAAAAGCTCTTCTCTGATCAATGAAACTCCAAGATGATCACTCCTCTTCAAGAACACCAAAATCCACTCCAAGATGGCCTTACAAGCTTACACTCTCACTATAAGGGTTAGGGTTTCATAAAGGGGTTAAAGGATGAGAAGGAGGTTGTCCCTAGAAGGTGTAATGTTCTTTATACAGTGTCACACCCTAAAATTTAGGGTTTATTGACTCTGGTCATACTCCTAGTACGTTGGGAGTACTTCTCCAATCACCCGCGACCATTCTCCCCATCCATAATGGTCGTACCCCAGCTTACGTTGGGCGTACTCTCGAGCTGGCCACCTTGCATGCATGGGATCATCTTGCCACTAATTTTCCATTAGGGGCTAAAATCGACAATAAATACTAAGTGGCATAAATCCTTTATTCCAAGTTCGTTTCCGACAAACTTTATATCTACGAGAAGGTGGCGGGAAGCCCTACGCTCCCCTAGACACCTCCAAGCCTAAAACCTTTTGGATAAATCTCGGGACCCATAAAAGACCGAATTGCCCCTACACCCTTGGTTTTCGAGGCCCCAACTGAGTAATTTCAAACAGGGTGTTACAACTCTCCCCACGTAAACTAGACTTCGTCCTCGAAGTCATGCATCACCATCCCCGACAAACCAGACTACCTGAGCACCACCGCCACAAACCCAGGGATACTCCAATCTTCCCAAGGCAATCAAAACCAACCCTCGCGGGTTCTAGAATCCAAAGATGAACGATTTCCTTGCAACCTGATCACGTCTATTCCCTTTGAAACCTAATGCCTCGACATGGTCTGTCTCCTCGACAGGCTGCCCACAACAAATCATCCTTAAACTGATTCCTCGAGAGACCGGCCTAGATAGAATACTTCCCACTTGTGATACCATGAGGCTTATTAAAGAACAAATGCCACCGACCAACTGCGACTACCGAATAACCCATAATTCCATTCATAGGCTCCAAATCATTGAAGTCACTCCCATTCCTCTTGCTGCCATATGACGGCTTTCCTGAAGAATGGTCAGGACCTTCCTGGTCTCAACGTGCCTGCCAACTATCCGAAACACCGGATACCTTTCCGATTGCTGAGCCAAAGACACACGCTCAGCAGTATCTTTTGTGTGGACATTTATTTTCTTTCATCCCCTACATGTGGAATTTTATAATCGACTGGCTCTATGCCCTCCTCCCCTATTATATTTTGTTTTGACAAACACGCACACACAATATCTTGGGTATAAGTTTTTCTAATGCTTGCTGTCGACCAAAACAAAAATATTTGGAGATTGACCCGTTTATGAGTCTTCTTGTCGTCTCTACCCATTTATGGTTTTCTGATTTTGGAAATATTTGGAGATTGACCCGATAGTGCGTTTTCTGGTGCCGACTAAAAGCGGCTTTGAATATATCGTTGAAACAATCAAGGCGGTGAAGACTTTCATTGTTGTCCCTCCTGATGATGCTATTTTTTCTACTGGTATGTATAATTACACATTCATCATCCACACAAACCCTAATTTGATTTAACTTTAATTTCATGCTTTCCGATTGTTGTTTACAGATAATCCAATTTTTGGATGTTGAAGCTTGAAACCCTTGAAATTGTGAATACCAAAGCATAGAAAACTCTGGTTCACAGAATATAGTCTCTTTTATGTTGCAATAGTCCAATTAATTTGAATTTAAAGTTCAACCTTCTCGATTTATAAGCATATTTGAATTATGATTATCTTCACTTTGAATTCCAACATTTTTGATCTTTAAATTCATCATTATTATCGAACTTTTGACAATCCTATCATCTAAAGAGCTTCTACTTATGGTATTCATGAATTATTAGCTATTATTTTTCAATTGTTTAGGAATTTATTTGAACTTTATGTAAGTAAAATTGACTTGATCTCAAAAGTCAATTTTTATGTCTTCGTGTAGGCAGCACCAAGCAAGGATCCTTGGTTTCACTATCGGACAAAGATTCCTACAAATAAGGGTGTAATTCAGATTATCTTTCTCCTTTGCAAGTATTAAACAGAGAAGTTAATGTCAAAAATTTTAAGGATTGATGTCATAATTCTATTTTACTAATTTAACAGGCCTTACGGAGGTGTTTGATTTTTTTTTCTGCTTTTTCTGATCGTTGTGAAGTTTCACTTTCCTTTTTCCGTTTGGCCTAATTCTCATTAGTTTCATGGACTTTCTCTAATGAGCCCTATGTAATGAAGCTTTCCGATCCTTTGGTAATTGAAGAAAACTATAAAAGGTCAATTATGAATTTATAGTGAGTAAATTTGAAAACTACTTATTAGAGGGACCATTATGCAATTTCATATGGTGGGTGAATGATTATGATCAGGACTGTGATTGTATGGCATGTAAGATGAAACTTGAAGAACAAAATCGCAAATTGAAGCTTTACCTAGTTATTAGTTGGGTTTTTTTTTTTTTTTTTTTTTTTTTTGTTTTTTTTTGTTTTTTTTTGTTTCAGTCCTTATATATAAAGTGTAGGTTTAGTAATGAAGTTGTTAGTATTTTGGTATGTGTATTTTGTAATGTTATTTGTATTAAGAAAAAAACTTCAATTTCAGTTACAATATGATGTGTAATCATAATGTGGTGTTATCAGTTGGTGTTCAAATTTAATGAAACTGTGGTATTTACAACATATGCAATATACCATTCAATACATGTAGCATCCAATATAACAATAAAAAAGGACAAAAATTAAAATATCCAAGATAATCATTGACCATTAACATAAAGGGACATTCAAAATAACAACATAATGTTATAGGATACAAATAGTTATCCCAGACAACAACAAAGTATCAAAATACAAAACATAACAACAAAGTAATATGGTAATAAATGCCTAACAGAAACATAGTTATCCTTCATGATCATGATACCAAACTACAAATTCTCAAAGCATGGGGATTTTTCCTTTGTTCTTAGCTCCATTTTGTACAACACCACTGCTACTTGCTGCACCTTCTCCTGTTGGATTCCCTGTTGCACCTTCTCATGTTCCATTCCCAGTCTGTGATCGTCCCTAACAGGTCCTTCCATTATGTCCCACATTTCCACATTTTGTGCATGTTACAGATTTCCATTTTGTGGACACTCCATCATCTTCTGTTGCAGATCTTCTTCTCTTTTTTTTTGGTCTGCTAATAGGGACACGATACTTTGGTGGTATCAACTTGGTAGGACATGTACTTTTTTCCCACAAAACCCTCCCATTAATAGGTTCAACTTTGAAGACATACATTTCTTTCCAAGTCTTGAGCCAATAAGTTGGGTGTACCCATGTCTCAGGTATTCCAACATTTTCATTGTTGAGCCTCATATCCCATATAGCTACTATACTATGTTTGTAGGGTATGCCTGTCAGTTCCCACCTGTTACATGAACAAGTTTGTTGGTCCATATTAACCATATACTGATTAGTACCTTCACTTGTAACCTGGTACTTCCCATTGCCATAGAACACTACCATACACTGTACTGCCCTTTCTTTAATTTTTTAAGGGTCTTAGTGGCTGTAGGAGTTAATGGGCCATTAGCTTTGTCAATTTCTTTTTGAACCATGACAATTTTCCTCATGATATACTCCCTAATAAACTCCAAGCAACTGATAATTGGCTTATCACGACCCTTCACTATCTTGCTATTCAAACGCTCAAACATATTATTCAACAAAGCATCACAATGTGTCCTCCCTAAAAAAACACAACTGTATTAAATTATATTTAAAAATTATACACTTATAAACATAATATTATATACCTGAGAAGTGGGATATGGACCAGTGCTTAGGTGGAATAGAATTAAGCCAGTCATATGCTTCACTGTTAAGTTTCTTTAGTTCTTCCATGGCACTGTTGAATTGTGGTATGGTGGTACATGTTGCATATTTCCAAAGACAATCCTTGAATTCCTTGCCCCTCCATTTACGTTTCATGTTCTCATGAAGATGCCTTAGGCAATATCTTTTATGCTCTACTGTTGGGGAAAAGTTTCTCAAGTGAAGGCAATAACCCCTAAATCATCAAAAGAGTGAAGTTGCTTATTGAATTGTAAAACATGCAGGTGAAAATGAATGGAGAACTTTGTTTACCTTCTGTCTGTCTGATATGAAAGTGAAGTTAGAGTTCGCATACAAACCAAGATCATCTCCTATGTTAGTTAAAAACCAGGTCCATGAATTAAAGTTCTCTGCTTCAACAACTGCATATGCCAAAGGGTATGTGCAATTGTTCCCATCTAAACCCTGAAGTATCATATCAAACATAGTAATAAGCAAACAATTAACTATGGTCAAACATTAATCGAATACTAAAATATGATTATGCACATACCATGCTGTCAGGATCATACCATGATATGGACCCTTCATGAATGCACCATCAAGCCCTAGTAAATATCTTTTCCTTGCTGCAAATCCACTTTTCAGTGGACCAAGACAAATGTATACTCGTTTAAATACCCTGGTCTCAGATGCATAACATGGTTCACTTTGCACTTGAAGTTTGACTGTGGTGTTTGGATTTCTACTCTGCACCTCCTGTAAGTAGTCTCTTAGACATGAGTACTGAGCAGCAAAATCTCCCCTAATTGATTCCAGGGCTTTCTTTTTCTCCCTATGAACTTTCATGTCTGACAATCCAACTTGGTATTTCTTCTCAAGCATCTCACATAATGCTTTAAGTGGTATTTCTGGGTTTGCCTCCAATGTGTCAACAATCTGTTCAGAGGGAAACTTGTAGTTGCATTCCCTAATTTTCCTTGTTTGAAAGCATGTATGTTGCTTTTCATAAGTCTTAACAGTCCAATTAATGTCTTTTTTCCACTTACTCACTAGTAGGACCCATGGGCATTTATGAATAGAACCATCTTTCACTTTCTTTTTCTTTTGACTTGGTCCCACTTTGTCATCACTTTTGCTGGTCCCACCTGTTTCTAATATCCCAAGGTTTGGTATTGTCCCTTTACAAACCACTCTAATCTTGTTTTTGTCATTCTTGACGAAGTCTATCTCCCTTATACTCTATATGGAATGAAGATAAATTTGTTGTTTAACTTCCTTAGATGTGCTAAAAGTCTTGTGGATGTAAAATGGATCTTTGACAACAACTGCTTCATTCTTATGTGCTCTTTGTAAATCTCTTATCTTCTTCCTTTTTTTTACTAGCTTCACCCTCATCTGATGAAGATGCAAATACAAATTCTTCAGTGTCTATAACCTCTAATTCTTCATCACCTTCTACTGCTTCATCTCGATCATCAGGAAAACTTCCAACCCACTCCACCTCTTTGTCAATGTTGAGGTGAAAGTTCTTCATATCAACCTCCGGATCATCTAACAAATTATCTTCATCAACTATGTAATCACTATCTTGACTGTCTTCACTATCTTCATTGTCATCACTATCATGACTGTCTTTACTAGCTTGACTGTCTTCACCTGCTTTTACACTATTTGGTTCATCTTGTTCCATAGGAGTCCCACCAAAAGGTTCACACCATTTAAATGTATCATCCCAACCATCAACATTAGGACATGTGCTTCCTATCATTGGTTCAGTCAAAGGGCTTTCAATTCTTGGTATATAGGCAGGGGTTAACTCAACTGTTTCACTCAATGTAACAAGGGGTTGTTCCAAGGTTGTTTCAGGTAATACACTAGGGGGTTGGTCCATCTTTTTACATTCTAAAAAACAAGGGCTTCTTCACTAGGACAATGCCCTGAATTTGACCATGTCAATAACAAGCTTTCACGACAAAGGGACTCAGGAATTTCATGTATCTTTATCTTTGTAGGGTTCGGGGACATTTGATACATATGCAGCTTGGTTTCCCAAAACTCTGTATACACTTCTATCACCTTGTGTTCATAAACGTATGACCTAAAGTGGTTTATATCTTCGTCACAGCCTAAAGCATACAACCCAAAATCTAAATCCCAGGTTGGTCGTTTGAAATGATAGTAAATACTTTTACTTGGTTCCACACAATCAAGCAATTCCATTATCTCGTCCATATCATGCACCGAGAACAAGTCACTATTAATGCCATTAATATATTTCATCTTCCCATTTATGTATTTGCGGCCTGGAAACTTCGTAAAAACTCCACCATAGTTCAATCATATCAAGAACATAGATGGATTGTCAGCTGCGAACCCAAAAAATTAAAAAGTAAAAAATACATTTTAGGAACGTATAATGGTTGATCAACTGAAAATGTAGAAAATTTTACCGTATGAGCTTTGGAGATCGTATTCCTCCCATTCTTGCCTAATCCTCCAGTTCACCATCGTAGAAAACTAGGCTTTTCTTGTGCAATGCTAAGGGTCGACGGAGGATGAAATGAGAAATGATCGGTTATCGGAGTCGCGCCATACTGGTTCATGCATACAAACCCTGAAAAGACGAAAATGCCCCTGCTTGCAAGGCACGTAGGTAGCTTAAACGGAAGGATTTAACAGTTAGCGTGCATAGGGACTAACCGTGCAAGATAAATAACAATGAGGGACTGCATGAGTTAAATTTTGGAAATATGAACTAAACACGCTTTCTGGCATGTGCACGAGGGACCAACGGTGTAATTTACCCAATATTAAAATATGGCCCAAATGATAAAGATGTATTGAGAGTTTGTTGATTTTAGTTGTAGATTTTTTAAAATATAATTTATATAGTTATATTAATTAAAAGCTATAGATTAAAATTGTAAAAGCTTAATAAATAGATGAGTTGTCTTTGTAAAAAAAAAAGTAATAATAATAATAATAATATACATAACATCCAAAAGTTGGAAAAGTTATGGGTCTTATAAAGCCCAATACTATTTTGGGTTGCAGTCCATCTAACTTTAAGAGTTAAGCCCAACTACGAAAATGGTGCCGTATTTATTGCCTGTAGAAATTAGTCTGCTCGCAGAGTTCTCAAGAGGGCACAGGCGACTGAAAGCTTCGAATCGAAATCCCTTATTGGAACGAAACCCTACGAAACGCTGTGATATGGAGACAGAGGAGGAAGCATCTGGACAGATGACGGACGAGATCTACACGAACGGCGTTGACGATGAGTCGTTGTCGCAGCAGCAGCAACGTAGACCGATTATCAGTGGCGAGCAACTCGACATCGAGGCGTACGCCGCCTTATACACAGGTCGTACTAAAATTTCGCGCTTGATATTCATCGCCGACAAATGTGGCAATGTTTCGATGCAGTTAGAGGCGCTTCGAATGGCGTATGACGAGATTAAGAAGGGAGAGAACACACAGCTGTTTAGGGAAGTTGTTCAGAAAATCGATGGACGATTGGGTCCGAATTACAGTTCGGATTCTAGTTGGATGGACGCGGTGGACCGTAGGGCTGACCAGAGGAAGGAGAAACTTGAGAATGAGCTTAATGCTTACAGGGTAATATACTATCGAATTTTATGATCCGTTATCTATAAGCGTGTCTGTTTACGTTATCAACAATTCAATATCGTTGAAGTTTCTCTGTTTAATTTCTTTTGCCAATCGTAGGGTTTTGCTACCGTTCAGGTAGCATATCTAGGTGTTTTGGTGCTATCTTAATCCTCTTTAAGGGAAAAAAGTTAATGGACCTTGGGTTTTTTGGTACATTCACAAAACTGAATTGGTCTAGCAACCTAGTTCTTTAGGAAGTTCTGAATTTAAAAGGTTGAGTTTAGGATCACAGGGTTTTAGTACATGATATGATAAAACTAGAAACTGTTGTCTGTTAAAGCCTCTTAGTGATTATGATTTGTAATCAAAATGGAGCCTGAATGTGAATAAGCTTACAACTAACTACAAGTTAAAATATGATCATTGAACAACATCCAAGATTCTTTCTGAGGGCTTTAGAAGATAGTAGATAACACCTAACTTGTCTCTATTTCTCCAGACAAACTTAATTAAAGAGAGCATAAGAATGGGGTACAACGATTTTGGAGACTTCTACTATGCTCATGGTGCACTTGGAGATGCATTCAAGAACTACGTACGCACCCGTGATTATTGCACAACAGCAAAACACATCATCCACATGTGCTTAAATGCAATTTTAGTCAGCATTGAAATGGGTCAATTTGCTCATGTTACAAGCTATGTCAGCAAAGCAGAACAAAACAAAAATGACCTTGATCCCATCACAATTGCAAAACTTCAATGTGCTGCTGGACTCGCCCATCTTGAAGCTAAAAAGTACAAGCATGCTGCTCGCAAGGTTCTTTTTTTTATCATTCTTTTTTAACAATAACACTACTTTCCCATTCACCCTTTTTAACAAATTATTTGATTGATCATATTTTGTATATATTATTATCTGTTCACAGTTCTTGGAAACAGCTCCAGAATTGGGAAACAACTACTCTGAAGTTATTGCAGCTCAAGATGTTGCTACATATGGTGGACTTTGTGCCCTTGCAAGTTTTGATCGTGCAGAACTCAAGGCAAAAAAAAAATTATCTTTATATAATAATGTTATTTACTTTATATATATAATATATTATATAATTCTAATTTGATATTATAAATTGGCAGGCAAAAGTAATAGACAATATTAACTTTCGTAACTTTCTAGAGTTAGTGCCTGAAGTGAGGGAGCTTATTCATAATTTCTATTCAAGGTAACTTATTTGTAATGTTTTTTTAAAAAAAATAAAATAAAAAGTAAGTAAAGAAGTGGTTTTATTTGTGTTGTATAATTTATTGTTGTAGCCATTATGCTTCATGTTTGGAGTACCTTGGGAACCTTAAAGCAAACCTTTTGCTGGATATTCATTTACATGATCATGTGGAGATGCTGTATACTCAAATTCGTAATAAAGCTCTGATTCAGTATACTCATCCATTTGTATCTGTTGATCTGAATATGATGGCAAATGCATTCAAAACCACTGTAGCTGGATTACAGAAGGAACTCGAGGCTTTAATCACAGATAACCAAATACAGGTAATAAAATATATCATCATTTTTCACATTACTTTTTGTGTAAAATGTAAATTGGTTTTTATAATATTTACAGGCGAGAATTGATTCACACAACAAAATTCTGTATGCGCGACATGCGGATCAAAGGAAAGCAACATTCCAGCGAGTTTTGCAGACTGGAATTGAGTTTGATCGAGATGTTAGGGGGATGCTGTTGAGGGCGAATCTTCTCAAACATGATTTTAATCTCAAGGCTTCAAGGAAAATCTAATCTGTCACGTTTATTATTATATATTTTTTTTTTTGAGAATTATTATATGAAAAAAAAAAAAGAATGGAAATTCATGGTGCTTGGTGGTGGTTTTTTATGATGTTAATGTTGTAAAAAGATTGGATAAGACTTATGTGATGCATGATCATGATCTTGAGGGTGAAGAGTGCTGTTTTGTTTATATATTCAGATTGAGAATTTGCAGCCCTTATAATATTGTTAATACATAGATAAATTTCATTCATGAAAAAACATTGTGTGAATGTTGAAGCATGATATCTTCCAACTTATTTAAAATGTTTGTTTACCCATAAAACATTAGGTTGTCCAATTAAAAGAAGTTATTCAACTTTCAAAACAATGTGAATTTAATAATGTTATGAAAACCATATAATATGGTGCATTAGTCGCTTGTATAACGAATCAAACTTTAGTCTCACTCATGCATGAGTCGGATGCCAGAGCAGAGCAATACACTTACAATAGCTATTGGCCCATTTATGTAGTTTGTGTGTGTCGGCCCAGGTCATACAAATATTATTAATATAGATTTTTACCTTTAATGCGTAAGGAATTAAGGATCATTTACGGGACAATATTCTTACAACATGGTATTATAGCATTAGATCTCTTCTTAAAAATCCTCTACCATTCCGTAGCCTAGCAATGAAAAAAAAAAAAAAAAAAAACAACGCATACCCGAGGGACGATGGTAACCCAAAACCAACACCTGGTTTGACCAATGAATCCTCAAGTTGAGGATGATGATGATAGATAAAGTTGGTCAAGTAATAAAAATGTTGTATTTTCAGGTACATCATTATGGATTGGATTAGTCTTTCTGGTGGGTATCTTTAATTCTCTCATCTCTTGAACCTATTGTTCTAGATCCAAAACCGAAATGATCCCCCTGAATTATTCTTGGTTGTGAGACGCATTCAATATAAGTCCCCAAAATCCAAATAAATATAAGAAAAAAATGAAAAATTAGAAGGGGGTCAAACTTCTTGTTCTTGAATGAAAAAAAAAGGAATATAAAATTCAAATTAATAAAAAATTTGGGCTCAATTTGAAGAGAGTCTCCGGTCCAACACTGTACAAATATGCTCCAGACATATATATCATATATGTGTGGACATATTGTGTATTATGAACATATTGTGTATCAAGAACGAAACAAAAAGCGGATATAGTCGAATGATAAAATTTCTCTTTGCCAAGGAGAAGACGCGGGTTCGATTCCCGCTATCCGCCCAAAATGAAGTCATTTATTTAATATCTAATATCATAAAATGTAAAATACGAAATGTATAGTTAGCCTTCATAGTGTAGTGATGGTGTAGTGATTCTATCCTTCCCCTTATTTGCCTTCTACCCTAAAACAAAAAAGTGTTAACTAATTACTAGTTACCAGAGTAAAACATACAATTTTTTTGACAAAAAGTATTGCGGAGACAGGATTTGAACCCGTAACCTCAAG